CCAGATGGCGATCATTTTGTGCCAGATTCCAAAAGGATACTTGACGTTGTTCAGGTATGTGCGATGCATTTTCAAAGATTATTACATCATTTGTCATCGTCAATGTCTCCTGACAGTATAACTAATGTGTCCAATGTGTAGTGGGTATGTAAGTCAAGAGTCCTGGAAAATTGACTTGAATTATCGCGTTTGACTTGCGTGTTCATAACGAAGTAACGCTAATACTTGGTATAGTTATGCTATCCAGGAATGATGTTGAGCAATGAAATTTAGATCGTGCGTACCCAAGGACTTTCATTTGCTATGGGGTCAACATCGAACATTCTTTGAGAGCTGGGTAAGCGCAAGGGAGCTTTCTCAAACGATGAATAAATAATCCACAAACACTTTGTGTCGGGCATGAATGTAACAAAATCAAGAGGCTAAATATTGGTTGAAATTTTATCTGATGTTAATAATCGCGAACAGAGAAATATTCTTATTCCATGTAGACTTTCATCGATACCTGGCCTCTTGATGCGGAACAGAAGAACCAACTCGATTTGAGCCTCACTCAGTGCTATCAATTTGATGACGCCGAAGCGGCAAACACACATTCACAGTCCTAGCAGAGTCTTGTTTTTATGCTTACTTTTTTCGGAACAATAAAGTACTTTCATCTTGTCTCTTTTTTCCATAGCTATCGCAGTTAATTCATTCATATAAGCTTGCACTGCGGTGACGATATACACTCTTGATGCTCTGAATTTTTCCACTAGATTTCCCCGATGATGTCTAGTCTCATGAAGGAAATGAAATTTTACATTTCACTTGCCTATGGTGCTTTGGCTTGCAAATTGGGAGCCCGGACTTGGTATGATCGAATCAATGACAAACTGGTCCTAGGAGCCTTGCCAATTCTCCCTGAATGGGATACGATTCGACTTAAAGAGGGTATTAGTCATGTCATCAGTATGGTTGAACCATTTGAAATCAAGTCCTTCGTTCTTGGACCGGGTGAGGCTGCTGACAGGGGTATAAGGTATCTCTCGCTGCCAGTAAAGGATTTCGTTGGCGTACCTACTAACGATCAGGTGTGCGGTGTTCGTCATTTTTGTCTATTGTCTGTGGGTTATGAGATCGCTAGACCTACTGCTCATCGCTGGCGATACTGTAGGTTGACGCAGGTCTGGATTTCATAGACTCGTGCCAGAGGCCAGGGGATAGCGTGTACATTCACTGCAAAGCCGGTCGTACACGCTCCGCTTTCATTGTAACCTGTTACTTTATGTCGGCGTTTGACCTTCCTCCGGAGGAGGCAGTGGCGCAGATTCAGTCCCGCCGACCCCACATTACTTTCAACTCTACTCAATGGCGTGGTCTTCGAAACTACTTCGAATTTGTGCATCAGAGGCGTCAGCCGCGATTGCAGCAGCAATAGTACTATGGTAGGTTCCTCCTCTTCCCCATCCCAGTTGTTGTACCACTGGCAGCTCTATGGTTCAAGGAAAATTTTATTTCCCTACAGCTAACAGTGGACAAGTGCATACTACTCACGTTCATTCTCTTTGTGCATAATTTATACTCTATTCTAAGAAATATATGCTCGTGCCCATGAATATTCCACTTCTATTATTGCTTGGCTTACTTCAATTTTATGGTTTCCATTGTATAAATAAATTTCTTCACATGCCCCCGTGGGACTCATTATCGGTAGAGGTAAAACCATGCGTAAGCGTTCCCGAAGTCACTCTTTGAATCCTTATCCAAACGATCAAAACAAGCTCATGAGAATGTTAGTTTTACGTTCGGGCAGGTGGTTTCTTTGGCTTCTGCAAAAAATTCACAAATGTTTTTTTATCAACTACCTGTTTGTTAATATTTTAGAGCCAATAAAATGGATGATCAACGCAGTTTCTTCCAACGAAGACTTTTTTTTCGCTATTTGTATGTACACCCATTTTTATTTTCCAGCGTCTTGTTAACTTTGGATTCAAATAAAAC